CTTGTCACACAGATTGAAAAAGATGTACTCAAAAGTTAGGGTTTAACAAAATTAATCATTTTTATTTTTCATCGATTCTTATGTAAAATCAGACTTTTATCCCTGTAAATAGACTTATCAAAAGAGTTTACTCTGTATGGATAAGAAGCAATTTATTAGGTTCATTCCAAAGACCCTTGGGAAAAAGGCCATGCCTTAAACCCATTAATATCATCCTATACCTACCCTGATAGTCTTTAAATTTCTTTTTCTAAAAGGAAAGTTGTTCGTGATAGTAAAATTTTGAATATTCATAAAGTCAATTTGGGATGGCTGTACAATCTCCTCTGGTGAGTAGGTTCAGTGATGTGGTCACATTTTGCCTGATAAATAACAAATAAATTTTTGGCATAATGCTCAAAATGCCCTGGAGGCATTAATCAGTGTCCAATTCTGACTCACTTGAGAAGTTTCAGAAATGATAATTGAACTGCTAACATCACTGTTCAAAACAGCAAGAGGAAATGACCAGGAAAAAGCCCCAGGAGATGGAAGGTCTTCTGTTGATCACGACTGGTGAGATCTTCTTCAGGATACAGCTACTTCTCTGATTCACCACAGGCCTGACTGTTGGGCCCACTGTGCTGAGTAGATAAAAATCCAAGACAATCAACTCCTGCCCTCACCACCTCTGCTTCTTCTTCGTCTCCTTAACAAGCCCTACCACCAGCACTACTGCAGTTGTGAATCTGGCAGGTTGGAGCCTAGGAAATTAAGGGGACCACATTTTACAGCCACAGAGATCACAATACAATGACTTAACAGTAAGCTACCACATACTACTCTGCAGTATCACATCCACATCATACAGAGAGCAGGATGGGGTTGCCTTCTCAGGGAAGCCCTAATCAGGTTTCTCTTCTTCCTCCTTTTATTGATCTTCAGATAATGACTAAGTAGGGTCAGGAGTTCCAGTTCCGGTCATTTTTCTCTCCTCTTTCTTGGGGCAGCACCCTAAACAGTCCCAAGAATCAGAACTGGGAGATATAAATGCAGCAAAAGATCCTCCTTAGACGTCAGGTTTGAACCACATGCTGAAATCAAGCTTTTACAGAAATGAGTGCATGAGTTTTGTTCATGTTTGTTCAGCTACCATAAAGAGGGTTTTCTGGTGTCGTCAGTATGCTATTGGGAGCTGTACATAAACTTAAGAAATCCTGTGCCGGGAAGAGTCGAGGAGTCATCTGTGCATTCCTCAGTCTCTGCTTTATTCACAACATAAAAGCACAAAGCCTTGCCCAGAACCCCTCACACTTTCTCTCCCATATCTTATTCACATCAGCTATGGTGCCTAGCACAATGCCTACTTCGTAGCACTCAATAAATATGTATCAAGTAACTAATAAAGAACAGAAGGGTATCACTCCTGGTACTATCATTAGTCATTCCCCTTTTCTGGACAAATCTTAAACAAGGTCTTCAAAAATAAAAGGGTAATGGCTGCAGACAGCTATATCCACCACAGCCAGCATTTACTGAGCCAAGTATGAACATTAACCTATTTAATCAATTAATTCCTCACAGGCACATTGGATATTACAGTGGATATTAGAATACTCATTTTATAGATGAGAAAATGAAGCTTAGAAAGGCCAAAGAACTTGAGCAAGATAATGAAGGCAGTACTTAGCAGAGTGGTAACTAAGAGTAGGTCTTTCTTACTCTCAAGTCATAGTTCATAATTCTGTATTCCCTGTGAGTTTCTCAAGTATTTTTAAATTTCTATAATCAGAAGAAAGTAAGATAGTATGTTAACAGAATTATATTGTAAAGATATTATAACTGATGACAACAAAAATTAAAAGAAAAATTTTCCAAAATCATGAGGACATTTTTTATACAATATTCAAGGTTGCAAAGTTACATGAGTCATCAACTAATTAGCATTATTTGTGGTCCGTGAACTTTCATACTGTATACTTTGAAGAACCCAAGAAAGATGTACGTAACTTTTGTGGAGCTGGCCCCACCCTGCCTTAGGGTAATCAACATTATTCACTGAAAACCAATACTACACCGGTGCTCTAGATTCAATTTTTGTGTCCCTGTCCCCAGATTAGGAGGTTGAAATTCAGGCCCAAAATGATAGCATTAGGAGGTAGGGCCTTTGGGAGGTGAGGTCATGAGTGTGAGGTCCTCATAAATGTTATTAGTGCCCTAAGAAATCCCAGAGTTTTTCCTCATGCATTCTACCATGTGACGACACAGCATGAAGACAGCCATTTATGAGCCAGAAAGTGGGTTCTCATAGGATACTAATATACTAGTACCTTGACTTTGTATTTCCCAACTTCCAGGACTGTGAAAAATAAATTTTTGCTGTTTATAATTCAGCAAGTTTATGGCATTGTGTTATAGCAACCTAGATGGACTAAACCAGAAACTGGTATCAGGAGTCATGTGCTGCTAAAAAAGAAAATACCTTAAAATGTGGATATACTTTTGGAATCAGGCAAAGTATAGATGTTAAAAGTTTGGAGGTACAGTCTAGGAAAACCCTATGTTACCGTGAATGGTTATGGGTAGTTCTGATGGGGGCTCAGAAAGAAAAGAGGAGAACTGTAAGGAAAGCCTCAGTTTTCTTAGAGAATACCTTATGTATTAGTCACTTTCCCTTTGCTGGTACAAAACACCTGACACCTGCAACCTAAAGGAGGAGAGATTTATTTTGGCTCACAGTTTTGGGGGGAACTCAGTCCGTGGCTAGCTGTCTCCAAGGTAGAATGGCATGGTAGAAAGGGCATGGAAGAAAGCATCCGAGAAGCAAAGAAGGGAGAAGCTGGGACAAGAATACGCCCTTCCAGGTCACATCAGTGATCACCTCTCTCTCCAACCAGGCCCTACCTCCTAGCACTTAAGTTATGAATTCATCAGTGAATTAACTGATGCATATAGCACCCCTATGATCCAATCACCTTTCAAAAGCCCCTCTGAATACGTAAGACTTTTGGGGGACATTTTATATCTAAACCATAACACCTCAGTAATCCCAAACAGAACATTTCTAGGAATATGAATGCTAAAGCCCATCTGATGAAGTCTCATGTAACAGTGCCTAATATGTTATTGGAAAATGGGGTGAAAGTGATCCTATTATAAAATGACAAAGAACTTGGCTGAATCATGTTTGTGTTCTATGGTTTTATGGAGGGTGGAACTTATGAGTGATGAAATTGGATATTTAGCTGAAGCTATTTCTAAGCAAAGTGTTGAAGGTGCAGTCTTGGCTCCTCTTGAGGACTTACAATGTGAGAAGAGAGAAGTTACTTAAAGACAGAATTATTAAGCACAAAGAACAATTTAAACACTTGAATAGTTCTCTGGCTATCCCATAGAGGAAAAAAAATGAGAACACTAAGGTTGTGTCCAAATAAGCTTTTGCAAATGGAGATTACTATGGATCATCCATCTCAAAGGAAGCCAGGAACTATTCTCCAAATAATGGAAGAAAGACTCTGAAAGTGAGTGAGAGATCATCAGAATTGCTACGCCCATTACACATCCAGAGCACAAGAATGAGGAGGAAGGAGATGAGCAGTTTCAAAGAAAGGAACCACTGGCACCTGTTGGACTTGTGCCCCTGCTACTTGGTACCACTTCACATCAAAGGCTACTTCCATCCACTGCAGCCCCATGCTCCTCAGCCGCTCCTATGCAGCACCAGTCACCCTGGTGCAGTGCAGGCCACTCCAGAGGGAGCAGGCAGCAATCTTTCATGATGTCGCTGCTGTGTGGTCTCCACTGGTACATAGACATCACAGGACTGGAGGACACAGCTGCCTCCACCTCGTCAGTTAAAGGACTGGCGCCAGGGGTCAATACCCTCAACCAGGGAGAACTGCAGCCTGAGGAAGGGGTTTACATGCAGAGCTGCTATGGAACTGTCTCACCAAGCCATGGGATTGATGCTTCCATCCTAGTGGTCCTGGAAAGGAGAGCACTGAGAGACAAAAATGATTATGATTTGGACTTACCCGGGATGTTTTCTTTCCCATATCTCCCTTTTGGAATGGGTATATCAATCTTATGCTATCTCACCATAATATTTAGGATACACATAACTTACTTGGCTTCATAGCTTAAGAGCAATTTGCCTCCAGATGAAACACATCTTGAACTCACTCACATCTGATTTAGATGATATTTAGATGAGACTTTGGATCTGAGACTTTTCAGTTGATGCTGGAAAAGCTTAACACGTTTGAAACTGTTTGGATGTATAAATATATTTTGCATGTGAAAAGAAAAAGGATTTTTGAGGGCCGAGGAGCAGAATGCTGTAAGTGGAATTCTTTTGATGCCTAAATTAATATGTTAAAATCCTAATGGCACTGGGAGTTGAAGCCTTTGAAGAATAAGTAGGTCATGAAGGTGGAGCCCTTGTGAATAGGTTTAGTGGCCTTATAAGAGACGCCATAGAGCTCCCTTATCCCTTCCACTGTGTGAAGACTCAGCAAGATGTTCATGTATAAAGCCTTCACCAGACACCAAATCTGCTCACACCGATCTTGCACTTGCCAACCTCCTGGACTGTGAGAAACAAGCTTCTGCTGTTTGTAAGCAATTTGATTCATGGTATTCTGTTCTAGCAGCCTAAACAGAATAAGACCATCGAATGCTTCTCATGAATTGTCATCTTTAGCAGGAATTATGCCTTACTAAAGACTTTTTAAAGTACAAATTCCATGAAGCATTTCCGGTACAGGTCTATACTGTGTTTGGATTAATAAAATGCTCTACAGATATTAAACTTGTTCTCCTATGTAATATAGAGTGTGGGCTGAGAGAATAATACTCATTTTTGGTTGTGTCTTTTATTTCTGAATAGTTCACAGCACATTATATACATCCAATTTGTTACTAATAATAAGAATGCTCCGAGTGATATTCTACTTACTAGAAATCAGTCCTTAACAGTAAGAAATAAGACAGTCAGTAAGTAAGAAATAAGACAGTCAGTATTTAGGTCTTGAAATATTAGATTTGTTACACGATTAAAAGTCAAAGTTATCTCCATTTTCAGGTGAACAGGTGAAGACTCTTGATTAGCATTAGCAATCATTTTCTCCAATAGTTCTGTAAAGATTTCTGTCTACCTTGTCATATTGCTTTGAAAATTTATCCTTGAGAACAATTCAAGTGAAATGTACTGAAGCACAAAACAAAATGTCGCACTGCACAAAGCTGTTCACACCCATGAGTCATTCCTCACAACAGCCCTGTGAGGCAGGTCATTGGCTTAACCCCGTTTCACAAATGGAGACAGTGAGGTAAAGAAAAAGATATGATATGATGGGGCTGGCAAACCCAGACAAAATATACTAAAGCATTGGAAAAGCACAGCTCTCATTTGCTATACCAAGAATCCTGCTATTCCATGAGGACACACTTCTAACAGCAGCTGTCAGAGACAAGAAGGCATCATTTTACCTATGAAAACCCTGCTGCAGATGATGAACATGCTAAGCAAAAAAGTCAAGTCTCCAATCTGCGGGTACTCAGAATCCCAGTGCACCTTTAATTTACTTTCATTGAAATATATACCATTTTAAAGTCCATGGTACTCCTTCTTTTCCATTCTCCTTCCTTATAAAATTTTTATTCTGTATTAAATAATTGACAATTTTGTTTCACTAAATATGTTCATGGATATATGCTTCAAACAAATTTGGGAAAAATTTTACCTATGAACTCTTGATAAAGAAGGAGAATGGAACAAGACTGCATGAAACATGGAGGAATAGGACATGCATGTTGTGTCTACACCATGACTATATGTTTGAGGCATTTATGCAGAAGAACTGAAGCTACTATGCTATCTTGTCACAGGCAAAAATGATCCTGTGTGCTTTCTTTTGATGTGCAGAAAGTAGCCCACTTCATTTAGTATACAATTTAAAACCTAGCTTTTAACAAACAATCCCCCTTTCTAAGCTTTTCTACTTTATTTCAGAGAAATAGTCCCCTCCATCCCCAATACTACCCAGTAAGTACACCCCAGTTGCTCTGAGTTAGTTTGTTACTGTCTTAGCAATAAAAAACCTACAATATTAAACATCTTAAACTTTGATGAAAAATTAAAGAATGTTACACAAAAACAATGTGAAAGTCTAGCCCCAATCATTTCTTTTTAGATGCAAAAGCTAAGGCCCAGAGAGGTTAAGACATTTGTCCAAGATCACATTTAGTTAATGGCAGATCTGGGCTTGGGAGGAACCCAGTCACAGATGCCCAGCAACATGGTCATTTCTACTTCTAAAGGATGTGCAGGCTTGGCCCTCTTTTCTCACATGCTGGCTACCATGGCCAGAGAGACGGCTATGTAGAGAAGACACTGCCCATGTCAGGCACGACAGTGGCATTGGTGGGCAATAAAAGGGACCTGGAGTCACGGGAGCATTCTGAAATTTCCCTTTATGCCATGTCCTCTGGGTGCCCTCTGTGGCTTGTGCTTTTCCTCAGTACAGAATATGGAAGCCATGACACACCAGGTGGCAACAGCCTGCAGTGTCACATAGAAGTCACCTCACCATTGCACAGAAAGAAAATGTGAGCCAGTGTTGTTTTTCTTTGTCCTTTGTGGACCTCCAGGAGATGCCTCAGACAAGACAGATGAACCTCATCTCTGATAGAATCAGAAAGTGGGAAATGTTCAAAGAGAACACCTTGGGCTGCCCATCAGGATGGGCTGTGCATTATCCTAGAGACAAATTAGCTTCAACATAAAACCACCTGGGGGTGTTCATTTCCCCTCTTACATTGATCAAAACCTACAAGCTGGCCAGATCCAATCAGACAATTATTATTACTCATCTATATAAGGAATAATCTACAACATTTCACTGATGAAAGTGCACAAGGAGGGCAGTTATAATGATGTATGCTTTCAGGAGGCTGAGGCAGGACTACAAGTTCAAGGCCAGCCTAGGCTACACAGTGAGACCCTGTCTCCAAAAACAAAACAAAACAAAAAAACACAGAGGAGTTACATCTCTAAAGGACTTCCACTATGGAGGAGAAATGGGAGCAAGCCACTGGGCAAGGTGAACATAAAACAGGCTAAAGACATGGCTGAGAACATAGAGAAGGCAGATATGCATATGTTCTTTTGACTTGTCAGGTATTATTATTTTATTTATTGCTAAAGAGTAGATAGCAGATAAGCTGGACAGATAAGCTTTTCTTACTTACATCCCTGGAAGCAAACAGATGGACTCTTTCATTGCCAAGTTCTAATGCACTTCACGTTCATGCTCAGCAGTGAGACACTGGGCTTGCCAAACACCAACGTGCTGCTGATAGTGAGAAGAGCACCCCAAAATCCACAGCTAGATCTTCTAGTTCTATTGCAGCAAGGAAAACACCCACTGTGCATTAGGTGAATTTCCACAAAAGGCAGCAAGTGCGTGAGTCTACACATGTGACCTGGAGGTGCCCAACGTCCATCAAAAATATTCACTTTTTAAAAGTATAAAAAAATGGAGGCAACCTGTAAGGATAATTCATATCTATTATTTGATAGGGCTCATTATGATAACTGCAGCAATTAATTGTTATCCTCAAGGTAGTCACCAAAATAGCTATTATTTTCAAATATTAAGGCAATCTAAAAAATAATCCTCATCCAGTCCGTGACACTCTAATGCATTTTGAAATCAGTCCTTGAACACTCGGGCCCAAAACTCTTGAGCTGAAAAATTTTGATTCCTATCAACCAGCCACCTCAGTTCCTGGGCTTCTTTTCTGGATTGTTGGAAGCTTGGTATCCACATGTCTCGCATGGTGTTCCCCCGTGGAGCCTGAGGGCAATGAGGGCACTGAGAGGCTGAGGAGAAGGCAAACATGGTGGGCGCTGGGCAGCTCAGGTGGGTCACTTCTGCCTTCCATCTTTTGGGTGGTAAGCCCTGAATGGAGAGAAAGGAAGAAAAGAATTTAAAATATATAATAGGAAGCACAATTCCCACGTTTCCACTGCACAGCAACAGAACCCAGCACACCCTTTCCCTTAAGCAAGTATCCTACTTCCACAGTTAACTCTGCTGAAGAGTTGAAGGGGAAAGAAAGTATCTCCCACATATTAAGACCACTCTGTGGCACTGGTATACACTGTCTCAATCCTTATGGTGAACAAATTAAATAGCTACTACCTTATATTATACAGGGGGGAACTAGAGTTCCAAGAGTTATAGACATTGTCCCCAGCAAAGCTCAGTTTACCTAAGACTGAACCTAGTTCTCTCCAGATTCTAAAGCTCCACACTCCCTTCTGTTATGTTTGTTGCTTCATTTATTTATTTCCCTTTCTCCTGTATGCCATTGCCACTACTCTCCTCTCCATAAGAAGATTTTTTAATGTGTTTAATACAATTTTTGATACTTCAATGTCTTTTCACAAAATGTGTTCTCATTTTCTGGGCACCAATTTTTTAACTGACTTATATATCCTATTCCATTTGCTACTTTTTCACCAATCATTGTTTTTATATCTGTCCATGTTGTCATTTGTACATCTAATCCCTTGTTTTTAATGTATTTCCACTGCACTGAACAGTCCCCTGTGCCATGATGTTTCCACCGAGCGATAACAATAACAATAACAATATCTGTCATCTGCACAGTACCTCTCAGCTTCAAAATGTTTCCACATGGACCTCCGCTGCTATGAGCCTGGTCCATTTCCTCTCCTGGTTTACTTCCATGGTCTCCTGACTAGCTCTCCTGAGTCTACCTTGGTACACTGCAGGCTATACTGAGAAGCTCTCTGTATTCCAAGTTCAAGTCCTTATGATGGCCCAGAGTTCAAGATTTGATCATCTACTAATATTCTAAGAGAAAAATGAAAGGAGGCAGAGAGAAAGGAAAGAAAGAAGAAAGTAAAAGAAAGAGATATTCCAGAATGGCAAACTAAACATATACATAACTTATTTTATTCCTTCATGAAATACCATTAATGTGAGAGTAAAAGTATTTTTCTCAGATATTAAACTATGAGAATTGAGAGAATGGAAAAGAGGAGAAAGTAAAGCATTGGACTGTAAGGCAGCAGAAGAATAAACTGAGACTCAGCCTATTTTATAAATCTTCAGAGATAAGAGATATTAGATATACCTGGAAGTGGAAAAAGGTCAATAAGCTAAAAACCATTAAAGAAAATCTGTCCAAGGAGCAGTCAGACACTCTTTCTCTATTCCTAATGGGTAGACATTGGCTGCTCCTTTGCTTGACAGAAGAAAAAAGAAACTCTAGAGTTTTTATCTCTGGAGAAGTAAAATGTGAGATTTCCAACTTGGAGAACAAGAGGCAAAATATTTCTGAACACAGAAATATTCAGTGAGCATATGAAGGCTGGATTGATTTTTTTTTTAGTACTGGGGATTGAATTCACAGTTTCTCACTGAGCTACATTTGCACCCATTTATTTTGAGACAGGGTCTCATTTAGTCACTATGGCTGGGCTCAAACTTTTGATCCTCCTGCCTCAGCATTCTTCTTGCCCTCTTTCTGTAATCCATTCCCACCACAATAGCTATGGCTTCACCATCTAGGCAGACATATGAAGGTTCCTTCTCTGGGGAATGTGATACATCCAAGAGGCTATCCTAGGTAGCAACCCGGCCAGGACACCCTACAATGAAGCTCACAGCCATTGTGCCCTATTACACCCTCAGAACTCCCACAGGAGCAGGTTACCAAGATTATGAAACATCTGAGAAAAGTTATCAATGTGAAAAATAGACACAAGCAAGGAGAAGAAATTTTTCGAAAACTTAAAAAAATTCCATAACATTCTTAAGAGAGATAAAAGAAGATTGATAAAAGAATGAGATACCATAAAAATATTTTGAGAATAAAAAAAATGAGATGGTAGAGACTGGAGAAATATTAGCTGAAATGAAAAAAATCAACAAAAGGGTTGAATGATATAGCTGAGAAATGTTACATAAAGTAAAAGAAAAAGAAGAAATGGAAAAAGCAAGCTGGGAGTGGTAGCAAAAGGCTATAATCCTAGCACTTGGTAGGTTGAGGCAGGAGGACCATGAGCTCAAGGCCTGCATGGAGTACGTAGCAAATTCAAGCCCAGCCTGGACTACACAGCAAGACCCTGCCTCAAAAAAAAAAGAAAAAGAAAAAAGGCATTAAATACCAGACCCCTCTACCCCTGGATCTGTTCAACATTAGAGGACTAGTCCTGGAGGTCCAAAATGCAAATATTGAGAGCTCCACAGAAGAGAGAGGGCAGAAAAAAATATCATCCAAGGATATAATTCAGAAAATTTCCCCAAATTGAAATACCTCAATTTCAGACAGAAAGGACACATTGAGGGCCCAGAATGATGAACAGAGTCTCTTGGCACAGTATATTTTTGTGAAATTACAGAACACCAGGCAAAGGAAGAGATCCTACAACCTCTCTGGTAGAAAAGTCCAATTCCAAGATCAAAAGTTAGGATGGCTTTGGATTTCCAGACAGCAACACTGGAGGTTGAAAGGCAATAGTGAGGTTCATTAGTAAATGGTACTTCTAGTAGGCAAAACTTTAAAGAGAAAAATGATATTGCACAGCCTCAAAATATTTCCTCTAAATATTTGTTAATTACTCTGGTGGTTTTGGTAGTTTTAATATGTGCCCTCTAATTACTTGACAGTCCTCTTTCAAGTGGGTAAAGCTGATTTCCTTTCCTTTTTTTTTTGGTACAGGGGATTGAACTCCGGTCCTTGGGCTTGTGAGGCAGGTGGTGGAACCGCTAAGCTAAATCCCCAGCCCTCCCTTCCTTTTAATGTGGGCTGGACTTAGTGACTCACTTAGTAGAAAAATAGTTAACTTCATCCTGGAGAAGCCCAGCAGACACCACCTTACCCAAGGGACCAGAGTTACTACCAGTACAGTCAGGCTGCTATCATGCATCCCCTGAGAAATGATGCAATGAGGACATTTCCACCAAAATCCACAACCAGGTGTCAACCAGAGAAAACAATGAACAAACCACAATCGGAAACATTTTATAAAATAGTGATCCATACTCTTCAAAAGTTATTAAAAATAAGAAAATATTGAGCAAATGTCAGAGATTAGAGGAGACATGATGGCTAAATACAATCTAGAACCTGATTTGGTCCCGGAGCAGACACAGGATGTTATGGAAATATGATGAAATATGACCAAGTGTACAGGTTAGTTAACAGCAGTGTATCATTATTAGTTTCTTAGTGTTGACAAATATATCATGGTTATGTAAGATGTTAACATTAGGAGAAGCCAAGTGAAGGGTGTATAGAACTCTGAGCTTTCTTGGTAACTCTTCCGTAAACAAATTATTTCAAACTAAAAATCCTTAAAGGCCTTGAAAATTTTTTATACTGCCTTCAAATTTTTAATGCTACCTTCAAAATTGTGAAGAAAATTCATGTTATTTTAGTAGTTTACACTCAGCTAAACTACAGCTTAAATGTCAGAAAAAAATGAAGATGTTTTCCACACTCTCCCTTGTACCTCTTCTCAAGAAGCTACTGGGAGTATGATCATCCAAATGAGAGGGTAAAGTAAGAAAATAGATTTTTAAAACTATACAAAATGGGAGGGCGCCCATCTTCTTTGACTGCGTTAGGCTGGCAGCTCTGAGGAGTGTGGAGGTCTTCGTTGTTGGTGGTGAACCTGTGGTTCGAGTGTGGGACCATGGCCTTAAAGATTAGCCACAATGCCTGAAAATGGTGATAATAAAAAACTAGCTGCTCTGGAGGCCAAAATCTGTCATCAAATTGAGTATTATTTTGGAGACTTCAATTTGCCAAAGGACAGAATTTTTTTTTTTTTTTTTTTTGCTGAACAAAAGAATTCTTCTTTATTCGGAGTCTATACAAATACAGGTACCTTTATAAGTGCAATGTTAGTGGAGAGATAAAAGTGGAGTGGACATAGAGAGTAAGTACTGTCCATGTTTCCTCACAGGACAGTGGGTGTTACCCAAGCCAGTATTCGCACTTTTTGAATCCATCAACAGCTAATAGAGATGATACAGTAGCAAATAGGAGACAGAAAACATCCAGGGAGTTGAAATTAATAGACCTGCAGCTCTCTACTGCTGCTTTCAGGACCATTTCATGTCTTGTAGTTGATACATGGCATTTAAAAGAAAATCAGTGACATATAAAAACTGGGAACGATCAGGAGGCCTTTGCTTTCTCCTTAGACAGCAGCAACTCATTCTTTTGGCCCTCCTCTTTGAACTCTTTCACAGTCTTAAAGTATAGTCTCTGCTTTTCTAGCAGTTCCAAGTACTGGTCGTTCAGCTAGTCTCTTCTCATTTTGTCCTCTTGCTTCTTCGTCTCCATTTTCATCCTACTTTGTTTAATTCCTTCTACAATCTGTTCCATCTGATGTAAAAACTGGTCCCGGGCAGCAGAAGCAGCCATGGCTTGTGAGGAGGTCTCATGAATTGAACTGACTAGACTAATCTCTTTTTCCAAATAAACCTTTTTGTCATCCAGGGTATTATATAAAGTGAAGAACTGTTTGATTTCTTTGTGCACAGCTGAAATCTGGCTGTAGAGTTCAATGAATCTTCTGATACTGTATTAACTCAGCTCGGCTGGGTACTTCATCAATCTTGTGATACAAAATTGCTATTTCTTGATTTCTTCGAGCCTGTAGTAAGCGGATCTTGTTTTGTTTTGTTTTGGTACTGGGGATCAAACTTGGGACCTTGTGCTTGCAAGGCAGGCACCAGAATCACTGAGCTAAATCCCTGGCCTGTAAGTGGATCTTGTAAAGTTTCTCTTTTTCCATATTATACCGTCTGTCTAGGTCTTCATCGTGAGTCACGATAGAGGTCAGCACACCATGTGGCTTCCCATTAGAGAGAGTCTTTTCATCTGGTGTTCTCTCACCTTTCAGGGTTTCAATTTC